GGGCAACGCACTTGCATCCACCGGAGGGCTGCGGCTGCTCAACGGCGCCGCCAAGGACGGCCAGCTCGAGTCGACAGAGGAAGATGCAGAGCCCGTCGAGGCCATGACGCTTCAAAAGGGACCTGCAGCGCTCAAGGGCCATCGCCGTCGCACGCTCGACCCGGCTACAGTCATTGGCGTCGGTCGTCTGCGGCCGTCGCGGGCCAGCGTGACGTCGGCCACGGCCTCGACGCCGAAGCAGCCCGCCCCGCCCCACGGCGGCAGTGGCGGGATCATGGCGCCACCCTCGTCCACCAAGCCGCTGTCGCGGCGTCCTTCTGCGCTGAAAGCGTCGGCGGCTTCATCGACAGGGCCCTCGACGTCGAGGAAGGTGTCGGCAGCGACACAGGCCCGCATCAACCGGCGGCAGAGCATGACGGCCTCGGCCTCGAATTCGCAGGCCTCCTCGGCCGCTTCATCGCGTGCCGCCTCGCCCGTCGGCTCCACCGCGTCCTCGCGGCGCTCTTCGATCTCGAGTCAGGCCGCGGGCTCGGAGAATGAGGCACCCTCGCGCGCCTCTGCTTCCGCTGCGGTGCGACGACGCAGTCTCGCTCCGCCTCCAGGCAACTCGACGACGCGGATCGGTGCACGGCCGCCACAGACGCTGGCTGCGATGCCCGAGTCGATCGGTCCGTCGGTTGCTGACCTTTCCCTTTCGCTTTCCGAGCTCCAGAACGTCTCCGGAGACGCTTCGGCTGCTTCCAAGGATCCGAGGGCGGCGGGCATCCACCGCCGCCTCAGCATGCTCCCCGCGCCCCCCACGGGCGACGACGGGACGTCAACACCGCGCGCCTCGCGACGTGGCGCCGACCTTGTGAGCAGGGCAGCGACGGCGTCGAGCACCACGCCGCCCATGCCCGAACGGCTGCTGCTGCCGGCCTAGCGAGACAGGGCGACGGCTGCCACCCTACCTCACTCTGTACCGTTATCCCCGTTCCTAGCCGTGCTGCGGGCAAACACTCGATGATTGAAGTTGCAGATTCCCATGCTCGACCGATTGCGCTGCCTGCCGCGCACCAGATTGCCAGCTCCATGTCATGCTAAGAGGGTAAGTGAATGATTGCGGGCAAAGCATGTCGAAGCGAAGCGGGGCGAAGTCGAGAAGGAGGAGCACCGGTCGCGAGTGGTGCCAGTCGCTGTTTGGCTCTTGTTTGCGGAGGCGAGGCATGGCAGCCGAAAGATTGACTGCCGTCCGGATGGGAAGAAGGATTCGGCGGAGAGATCGCACTTGTCAATTTACGAGACGGGAGCGGCCAAGGGCCGTATCGTGTCCCTCAGTATCGGTGTTCGGGCAGCCTCCTTGTTCTAGGTACAGATCGTCGTCGCTAAGAAGCCTGCCTACCCTGCTTCGACCCGCCCCCCGCACGCGCCCACGCCACGCCCACGCCCTTGCCCGAGGGTACACACATCAGTGACCGGACTGGGGATACATGCGAGGGGGAGCTCGTTCACATCGCCTGTTCCTGCTCTCGAGACTCTGCCCGATCGATTAACTCGACCGAGCAGGTTGGTCGGAAAGACGACTGCTTGCTCGGCAGGCTGGCAAGCATGTTATTGAGCTTCCGCATGAAGGAATATTAAAAAAGAGAGGAAACAAGGCGCGGACGGACTCGTGACTGAGCGTGGCGCGCTCCCCTCGTCGCCGTGCGCGAAGCCTTCCATGAGGCATCCCAAATGAATGCTGTGGTATCGTGGCCGCTATCACTTTCGGATTGGGCGGGCTAGTTGCGGCCTCGACGGTCCCGGACAAAGCGGCGCCGGTGCGACGATCCGAGTCCGCCAAAGAGGCCCTCGGCCTTGTCGCGTCCCGCACGCGCCTGGTCCGCGACGCCCTTGCCCATGACGTCGTCGGCCTTGTTGCTGTCGAGCGAGATCTCGAGGGCAGGCAGGACGGATCCGCACGCCACGTTTGGCGTCTTGTCCTCAAACGCCTGCTGGAGGAAGTCGATTGAGGGCGCGACGCCGGCAAAGACGCCGACAAGGTGGTTGGCGAGCAACAGCGTCGAGAATTGGATGTTGGCTCCGCGGGCACACTGGTCCTTGACGTACTGCTGCTCGTCGTTGTACGGGACGATGTCGTCGCCGAGGGCGTGGTAGAGGAAGCGCGGGAATTTGGGCACCGGCAGCTCGCGGTCCGCGTACGACTCCAGCAGCGACTCGCGCTTCAGCACCTCGACCGCCACCGGATTGTCCAGAGGGTCCTTGACGGTGGTGTAGTTGAAGATGTTGAGCCCATCGGACTCTGAACCACTGACTTGAAGCACGCAGTACCCTGCTTGCTTGAAGCGAGATAGTACAGTCCTTCCCTTGTCGGTGATGATCGACTCGATGTAGGCGTCCAGCTTGGGGTAGGTGTCTTTGAGACCAATCAGGCCCGCAGCTGCGAAGCCAGCGTAGTGCCCTCCGTTCAGGAACAGCAGGGTGTTCTTGGGATCGATGGGAGTGCCGCCGTGAGCAGCGCCGACGATGTTGAGCTCGGGAGCATACTTCTCGTGCAGCGTGCTTGCCCAGACGGTGGCGTGCGCGCCGCCGCTGTAGCCGACCATTCCGACGGCGGTGTCCTTGGGCAGGTTCTGATCCCTGATCAGGGCTTTGATCCCATCGAGAATCGCTTGGCCGGACTGGTAGCCGGCGATGAAGGTCGATTTGGGGCCGAGGAAGTCGGGCGTCACCACGTAGTACCCCTTTGACAGCGCCCATTTGATATAGGTGCCCGGATCGAGGAAGTTCTCGATGGCCGTTCCAGAGCCGCTATCCTTGACCACTGCCCAGCTATAGGCACAATCCGGCGAGTTACTGTCGACCCATGCCTGGACGGACAGGATGCGCGGGGGCGATGAGGGCTTGGCGGGGACAAAGATGGACGCGACGGTCGCCTCTGGCTGGTTGAAGGTGTCTTCGGTCCGGTAGAGAAGATGAAAGGATTTCTCCAGGTCCGGACCGGCAAAGACCGAGGGAAACGAGCGCCGCCTCAGGACCTGACCTCTGCGAGCGGCGGCGAGGTTGCCGGAGGGCTTGTAGAAGGGGTCGACGTCGGGCGCGGGGAAGTCGGGGTTGGCGCGACCCACAAGTCCCTCGTGGGCGGTGGCACTCGTCGCGAGCGCGGCGGGGAGGCAGAGGAGCGCGAGTGCAATGGCGCCGAGAATGGGCTGGAGGCGTTGGATCTGCATCGCGGATCAGAGGGAGGATGGGGGTGGGGGCGCGGGAAAGGGGGAGGGAAGAGAGGAGGTGGCAAGGATGCTGGAGAAAGCACTGACTGTCTGAGATACATCCACCATGGCCCTTATATGGTCTTCACGGTTTGCGGATGGGTGGATGCTGGCCTCGGCGGCGGGTACTGTATGTACAGGTAGCGAAGGCAGCACACTGGGTGTATCGGCGTGCAGGATCCTGTAGGTAGCCTAGTCCGACGACGGGAGAGCGGGGCGCTAACAAAGCCATTGCCTGCGCTTGCCTTGGCGATGCCGATTCGCACGCCTCCTCTCGGCCTTGAGACACGTCGAGGCGCTACTGGGAGTGTGGCACTCTCCGGGCGTAGCGAGTCTCTTCAACACCGGGCAGGCCCAGACATGGCCAAACCTCCTTGATCGTCGAGCGCCACCCCCTCCAGCTCGGCATCGGCTCGTGAAAGCGTCCCGGTCACGCTGGCAGGTAGGGGAAAGATGGAGACGTGGGCGGAGTCCACAAAGGACAGAACATCCTGGGGGATCGCCTTCGCGCTCGCAAGGGTGCCGGTAGCGCGACTTCGACCCCGTTCCCGTCGCGGTCACGGGCCAAGCGACGCTCATCAACCCTGGAAAGCGAAGCGATAACAAGCTCGCCAACCCGTATAGATTCACTCTACGCATGGTGGGGGGTTGGGGCGAGGGTGTGCAGGGCCAGAGACGCCTCAGCAACCGAGAACGCGGATGACGGCCAACAGGTCCAGTGTCGTCGGCTTGCACCATGATGCGGATCGGAGCGAGCAAGGTCGCTGTTTGATGCTCTGGCGCCGCCGACTTGGCCGCGGCCGTCGGATGCGCCATCGTCTGTCGCCTCGCAAGATCTGCCGGGTGCAAAGGACAAGAGTCTCACTACTGCACCAATCTCTTGTACAATATGTACATATATACGGCGCACACCGTATCTACGACGATCCGTATTAAAAAGCAAGACCGTTAATGGTGGAGCTAGCGTAGCGTAGGGTAGCGTAGCGTAGGCCAAAGAGAAGACGGCGGTGCAATGCAGTTGGGCAAGTAGTCTACCGAAGCTTTCTTTTTCGAGCGAGGGTCGATATGGCCCAGATGCGCCCTTTGTGCGGCAGCTGCGGCGTCGCGGCGTCGTTCCCAACCAGCAGCCGCTGTCACAACTCGGCTATGGCTCGGCTGGAGGAAAAACCCGCCGAAATCGACAGGCAGGCAGGCAGGCAGGCGCCCGGCCAAACGGGCGGTCGTGGTGCGGACGAGATCCTCTCCAAGGTGGGCAATGCAGACCGTGTCTAGATGGATCGTCATGGTACCATTTCGACTCGTACAGCCGACGTTGTCGTAGACGACGAGGAGGCGGGAAGACAAAAGATGGAGTCGGGATGGTCAAGCGCAGGCCACCTCTGCTACCTATTCCCTGCGGGCACCACTAGGTTGGGCGGGCGGGCAAGCGGGCGTAGCGATCGACTCGACTTGACGCCACACGGACTGGACTGGACTGGACTGGCAAGCTTCACCCCGCCTCATTGCCGCTACGACGTGCGGACCAGCGAGCAATGGAGGCATTGTGGCCAGCGTCGCGATCGACGCTTTGGATCTGTAGCGCAACGCACCCTCTCTTGCGCGAGTGAGACCATACCGTACCTCCATCCTCGTCTTCAGACTTCCACCTTCGCCCAAGGCAGAAGCATCGTCCCTTCCCCTCTCGAGCCAGGCCTGCAATCTCTACACAAGAGCTGGTGACATCTCTCTCTCTCTCTTTGAATTGCACATAACGCGTACCTCCGTCGCCATTTCGGAAGCAACGACGATCGACGGCCGCGACGACAGAGAAGGGGGTGGGCTGGACGGTCACGTCGAGAACCAGCTTCCGCCCTCGTCTTTCCCGCTCGTCATGTCCGACGAGATGATGCGGTGGACGTGGCAGAGCTGGCAGGCGAGTTGGCAGGAAACGGGGACAGCATCGATGGGCGAGAGCGGTCGATGGTCAGCTCGGCCTGCCTGCGAGACGTCGAGGCGCGGCAAAGGGGGAGACACGAGGACACTCACGTAGTCGACGTAGCTCATGGCGTCGTTGTTCTGGTCCTCTACGAGGCTGTTGGCCAGCTCGACCTCGGCTGCAGAGGGAAGAGGGGAAAGGGAGGGCCGAGGCTCGGGTCAGTTTCTCCTGCCTGTGCGCGGCACGCAGCGAGCACCGGCGACTCACTGCCGTCGCGGTTCTGCCGGGCAATGAGGACGGGCAGCTCCGGCTTGTTCCTCTGCAGGGCAAAGTCCTTGACCAGCGCGCGCGCCTGCTTGCTAAGCTTGGTGGGCAGGCGGGGCAGGCGGGTCATGCGCGGGTCGATGTCGTCGATGCGGGCGACGCCGTAGAGGTCTTCGACGAGCTTGGGGTTGACGTCGGCGCCGAGCCAGAGGATGGCGACCTCGCCGTTCTCGAGGAGGTAGGCGCCGTGGGCCTCCATGCGCAGGTAGCTGGGCCGCATCAGGGGCGGGCTCTTGATGCGCGCTCCCTGCACGACGCTGCCGTCGGGCGTCGTGATCTTGATCGGCTCGCCGTCGTCGGGCCGCATCGTGTGGAGCGCCACCATGCGCGGGTAGAGCATGTTCATGATGGCCGGGACGCCGGCGCCGCGGAGCAGGCGCATGTAGAAGGTGCGGACGTCGGACGTGACGTTGCCGCCCTTGATGGCCTTGGTCTTGTTGATGGCGAGGGCGTAGAGCGGGAACAGCTTGAAGCTCTCGGGCAGGATGAGCTGGCCGGGCGACGTCGACGAGGCGCAGTTGCGCCGGTAGGCGAGGAGCACCTTGACGCACTTGTCGGTCAGGTAGTGGCGGACGTCCTTGAGCGGCTTGGTGTGGGCGAGCGAGATAGTCTCCTTCATGTAGAAGGCGACGGCGCTGTCCATGTCGGCGTAGCGGAAGACATTGCCGAGCAGGCTGCTGACGGGCACGGCGAGGTTGTGGCAGCGCACCCGCCGCTCGCCCTGGGCCGTCGTGTAGAGCACGGCGCACTGGAAGTAGACCTCGTGCTTCTCGTCGAGCTTGGCCTCGTGCTTGATGAGGGCGGCAATACACTTGTCGGCGTCCATGGTGCCCAGCTCAATGTCGGTGACGTTGCGCTGGTAGAAGTTGCCGTAGTGATCGGCGACGCGCAGGCCGTTGGAGCAGCGGACGCGCATCGTGACATTGTAGCCCGTCTCGCGCAGCACGGTGCGGCGCACCTCGGTCCGCAGCTTGGCGCCGTCGCGGACGGGGTCGTAGCGCGGGTGGAAAAAGGCCTCGCCGCCCGTCAGGCCGGTCAGCACGCTGATGGTCGCCACGTCGATGTACTGCGAGGGGAAGAAGAAGACATTGACGCCGATGCCCGCCTCGACGCACTCCTCGGCGACGCCGCGGTAGAAGCCGTCCTGCGGCACAAAGAGGTTCTTCTCCTTGTCGGTGCCGTAGAGCTTGGTGTCCTCACGGTGCTTGAGCGAGCCGGGCCCGACGGTGGGGATGGTCGAGAGGAAGAGGTTGACCTGACCGCCGATGGTCGTCAGCGCGGCCTGCGCGCCGCGGACCGCCGCGCCGAGGGCCGCCTCGCCCGTCATGTTGTCGGCAAACATGGTCGGCAGGCTGTTGAGCAGGCTCTCGATCAGGTGCTTGGACTCCCACGGGTCGGCGAGCAGCCCGTCGCTGATCGGCACGAACGGCTCCTCGATGTCCGGCACGACGAGCATCTGTGCCTGGTCGAGCTCCGACGAGAGGTTGTAGAAGTGCAGCGAGCGGTCAAAGGTGAGGATGGCCACCCGGCTGCCGTGGGGCAGGCCGAAGCCAGGGCCCTCGTCGGCTTCGGCCGCCGGCGCATCCCCAGCCTCGCCGTTGCCGTTGACCTCGCCGCCGTCATCGTCGGGCTTGGCGCCGTAGAGGGTCTCGCGGATCGAGTCGACCGTGCTCTGCAGTGCGCCGCAGCGGACAGCGCTGAAGCTGACGTCGATGGCAAAGAGGTAGGTCATGGGACGCGGCGCCCGCACCGTGGTCCTGCCCTTGCCAATGTTGATGCTGCTGAGCGCATCGCTGGCCGCCTTGGTCGCCGCCTTGGCCGCCTGGCCGCCCTGGCCGGTGAGGCCCATGGTCGTGCCGTCAAAGTTTTCCTTCTGGGCATCGGGCCGCGGGCTGAGCTTGGCCGTCTCGGTGAGGGTGCTCGCGGGCGCGACGGGCAGCAGCACCGATGCCGGCGGCGTCGCCTGGACCGCCCAGTACTCCTTGGGCACGGCGAAATCGACGGTGCCGCGCGAGAGCTCCGGTCGCGACTCAAAGTCGACGCGCCGGCCGCTCATGTCGAGGTTGCAGAAGTAGTCGGCGGCCACTTCGGTCGCGGTGCCGCAGAGGTTGCACGTCCACTTCTGCCCGCCCTCGACAAACACGCACCACGCGTTGATGTAGGCGCGGCAGCGTTTGCAGCGCGGCGGTCCACTGTCGCCAAAGTGGGCCGTAGGGATGGGCGCCTCATCGGCGCGCAGCTGGGCAAAGGGCTGCAGCAGCAGGGCGATGGGCAGCTGCGACGTGGTGGCGAGCTCGTCGGTAGCCGGCATGCTGTAGGTCGTGAGCCGGACGTGCTTGGGCGAGCAGTTGCCCTGGTCGACGGCGGCAAAGCTCGTGGTGCTGAGCGGCAGGCCGCCGCGGCCGCAGGTGGCGAACCACTCTTTGTCGAAAAACTCCTGGTCGGCATCCTGCATCTCGACCGGGCTGGGGATCTGGTCCGGGTCGATCTTGGAACGGGGGCCGGCGAAGCGCTGGCCGGCCTGGTGAGGGGGCTGGGCGATGCCACCTCCAGGCTGCTGCGGCGGCATGGCTTGGGAAAAGGCGCCTCCAGGTCCGCCCTGCGGCTGCATCGGTGCGCGCTGCTGGCCCGGGCCCGGACCCTGGCCCTGAGACATCATGGCACGGTTATGGGCGATTTGAGCCTGCGAGACGGTGTTCCGCTGTCCGGGCATCTGGTCGAGGGCGCTGTCGGCATTGCCCTGCAGCTGTCCCTCAAAGGCGGCGACCCTGGCGGCTGCGGCCTGCTGCCACGGAGCCTGAGGCGGGTTGGGCTGCACGGGAGCGTCGTTCCAGCCGCCACCGCCAGGCTGTGCGTCCGTGTGATAGGCCCTGGCGCTCCGCTTGGTCCGTGCGGGTCCCATCTCGCCGGCCGAGGGAGGCGGGGGCGGAGGGGACTGCGCAGCGCCGGGCAGGGGGCGCCAGGCTGGTTGAGGCTCATGCCGGCCATCTGGCCATGGAGCGTCTGCTGGTGCTGCGGTTGCTGCTGCGGCATGGGAGGCGACTGCATCGGCATGCCCGGCATAGGCGGACGCGGCTGCATGCCGGGCTGGCCGGGTGCGCCGGGGCCTGCGGGCATGGGCGGCCTAGGGCTCATCCTGCCCTGCTGCGGCTGGCCAGGAGGGCCGGGAGTGAGGCTTCCGTTGCGGTTGACCATGCCCTGCGGCGGCGACATGGGCCTGGCACCGACGCCGCCGGGCGTTGGCGGGCGAGCGCCCTGAGGGTAAGGTGCAGGTCCGGTGCTGGCGGGACGCTGCATGCCGCCGGCAGGGTGCCCCGGGGCAAGACCACCGACGGGTGCGCCGGGAGGCGGCCTCGCGAAACCAGAGCCTGGAGGAGGCATTGGGCGACCCTGGAACTGAGCACCGGGTGGAGGAGGCATGCCGCCGGGCTGCGGTGGCCGGGCGCCTGGCTGTCCCGGAGGCGGTGGGCTCATCATGGGCTGCTGCTGGTGCTGCTGCATCTGCTGCTGGGGGCCCTGGCCGGGACGAGGTGGTGGGGCTGCCATTGGCGCGAACACGGGTTGGTGAGTGGTAGGGAGATGCGAGCTAGTGTAAGAGTTGCGCCTGGCCGAGAAGGGCGAGAGGTGCGTCGATGCTGGGCTCGGCTTGTCCGGGCTGGGCTGGCGAGGGGTGAGTGCAGAGCTGCTCTTGATGGAGCGGAGGCGGGTGAAGGCGGGGCGGATGACAGGTGCGAGGGATGCGTTGGCCTCCTCCTGCTGGTCTAGGGCGAGCGGGTCGTTGTCGTCGTGGCCGTCGTGTGGCAGGCGCAGGAAGGCTTTAGTTGGAGAGCTGTTCTGGCTCTGGGGCTTGCGACCGCGGTAGTAGCCCGAGCCTGCCGGTCTGGAAGGTCTCCTTTGACCCAGGGAGGGGTGAAGGTGGGAGGAGGCGGCGAGGTTGTCGCCGGTGTCGTCGCCGTCGCCGAGTGCGGGTGGGTTGGGCTCCTGGTTGAGCGAAGGGCTGGAAGGGACGCTTCGGAAGATGGAGCTGATGCGTGAAGACGACAGCTTGAAAGGTGGGTCGAGGTGAAGGAGGAGGGGGGGCGCGACCGCTGCCGATGCGAGAAGAGGACTGTGGCCCAAAAAGGCGCGAGACCTGGGATCGAGTGTGAGGCGGTGAAGCGGCGGGGCAGCGAGGCAGCGAGGCGAGCAAGAAGAAGAGGGGAATGAAGGAGGTCGAAGAGGGTCGGTCGTCAAGGCTATGCTGAGCGTTGGGCAGACGGCGAGCGGGCGTGTGACCAAGGGGCGAGAGGCGTGACTTCTTCGTGAATGGCCAGCGAGACCCAAAAGGGAGAGGTGGCTGCGTGGCGCGAGCGAGAGCTCAAATCGCAGGCCAGCAGCCAGCCCAGCCAGCCGGACAGCCCGGGCCAGCCGGACAGACAGACGCTCAGCCTCAGGGGCCCACGCCGGGCTCAACACCGAGACGTGAAACAGCAGGCAGGCTGGCTTGGGCGAGCGGGCTTGGGCGAGCGAGCCAGCGAGCCAGCGCCCCGTGCGGCCAACGGCGCCGCTCCCTCCTCGCTGGCACTCCGACGCCCGATCGCTCTTGTTGCCAGGCCACACCGTCACTGTTTCGGATCCGCCGTCACCAGATCCAGACCGAATCCGCCTGAGTCCTGACGCGTAGATTGCGCCGACGTGAAGGCAGGCAGGCCAGGCGGGTCGGAGGCCAGAGCGGCCGGCCAGGCCAGGCGAACAGACCAACACTGCGGGCCCCTCTGGTCTTCTCGGCGAGAGCACCCGACATTGCTCTGACCATCATCGCTCTCCCACTTCACGCTCCTGTCGGCTCGTTCCTCTCCGCTCCGCTCCGCCTTGCCTTGATCTGACAACTGCCGCCGTCGCTCGCTCAGCCCCGCCTCGACTGGACGCCCAGCCGCCTCTGTGACGCCCGTGCACTCTGCGCCATGTCGATGCCAAGAGTGTTTCTGGCGCGCCACGGCGAGACCGAGTGGTCCATCTCTGGGCAGCACACGGGTCGGACCGACATCGCCCTCACGCCGCACGGCGAGGAGGTCATGAAGCAGCTCGCGCCTTCCATCATTGGCGTCGACAACGGCAAGCTCATCGACCCCACCCGCCTCAGCCACATCTTTGTCAGCCCGCGGTACCGCAGCCGGCGCACCCTCGAAATCATGCTGGAAACCGTGCCGGAGCGGGCGCGCAGCCAAGTGCCCCCCGTAGAGGTGCTCCAAGACTGCCGCGAGTGGGACTATGGCGCCTACGAGGGCAAAAAGACCCACGAGATCCGCGCCGTCCAGCCCGGATGGGACATCTGGCGAGACGGCACGCCCGACCACCCCGAGAGGCCCCTCGAGCTGCCCGGCGAGTCGGCCCAGCACATGTCGGACCGCATCGATTCAGTCATTGCCACCATCCGCCGCCTCCAGTCCGGTCACGTAGACCGCCGCAACGGCGGCCACGACGTCGGCAACAAGACCTGCGACGTCCTCCTCGTCTGCCACGGCCACTTCAACCGCGTCTTTGTCGCACGCTGGCTCGGCCTCCCCATCACCCAGGGCCGCCTCTTTGAGATGGACCCAGGCGCCATGGTCGTCCTTGGCTATGCCCACCACTCATTCCAGGAGCCCACCATCGCCGGCATCTTTTCTTCCAAGACCGGGCCCAAGCCAGACGCCCTGCCCAGCTCAAGCGCCGTCGCAGTCGCAGGCCCCGCCGTCGCTGCCGGGCACGAGGAGTCGCAGTACCTCTCGCTCGTCTCGCGCGTCATTGCCGAGGGCGAGCACCGGCCCGACCGCACGGGGACGGGCACCATTGCGCTGTTTGCGCCCCAGCCCTGCCTCCGCTTCAGCCTGCTCAACAACGCCCTGCCCCTCCTCACCACCAAGCGCGTCTTTCTGCGCGGCGTCCTCGAGGAGCTCCTCTGGTTTGTCGCCGGCTGCACAGACTCAAAGGTCCTCACCGAGCGCGGCGTGCACATCTGGGACGGCAACGGCTCGCGCGACTTCCTCGACGGCCGCGGACTCTCGCACCGGCGCGAGGGCGACCTCGGACCCGTCTACGGCTTCCAGTGGCGCCACTTTGGAGCAGAGTACAAGGACTGCGACGCCGACTACGCCGGCCAGGGCGTCGACCAGCTGCGCGACGTCATTGACAAGATCAACAACAACCCCACCGATCGTCGGATCATCATGTCGGCGTGGAACCCGAGCGGTGCGTTTGCCCCGTCCCCTCCTTCCCCCCATCGCCCTCCCTCTCCCTGTGCCGTCTCTCGCGCGTCCTCTGTGCTGACCGACTCGCACCCGCTCCTCGGCCCCTCTCCCTGCTGCAGACCTCGGCAAGATGGCGTTACCGCCATGCCACATGTTTGTGCAGTTCTACGTCTCGAACCTGGCAGCACACGCCGCGGGGACGGGGCGCAAGCAGCTGAGCGCGCAGATGTACCAGCGGTCGTGCGACCTCGGGCTGGGGGTGCCGTTCAACATTGCGTCGTACGCGCTGCTGGTGCACATGATTGCGCACGTGACGGGCTGCGAGGCAAAGGAACTCACCATCAGCATGGGAGATGCCCACGTCTACTCGGATCACGTCGAGCCGCTCAAGCGTGAGTTGCGGCGCAGCGCGGCGTGGCGCCGGCGAGCTCCGCCGCATTCCGAGAGTCGGGCAAGGGGAAAACGAAACGCTGACCCCTCTCTCTGGGCCCCATCGCGCATCCTCTCTTCCCCCCTTGTGGTTCGGCCTTGTGACAGTGCAACTGCAACGGGATCCGCTACCCTTCCCGACGCTCCGGTTCAACCGCGACGTAAACGACATTGACGACTTCAAGTACGAAGACTTTGCGGTAGAGGGCTACAAGTGCCACGGCAAGATTGACATGAAGATGAGCGTCTAGACGCCGACGCCTAGCCCTAGCCTTTCCCCCTTCCCTTCCCTTCCTTCCCGCGATCGCGAAGGGAAGAGTGTCGTGACCCATCGCGGAAAGCGACAGGGATGGGCGGACACACGGCATTGGCGGCAAATCAACCATGGCAGGCGTGGAAATCGTACATCCAAAACCCAGCTGCTGGAGCAGGTCCTGGTTCAAATTTTTGTTCGGTTGGTGTGAGGATGGGAGGGGGGGGTTGCAGCGGGCAGCAGCACATGACAAGAGGTGACGGGAGGATGGGGGAAGAACCGAGACACAAACGATGACATCGACCGACGACGACGACGAGGGGACGACGAATCGTGCTGTCGGTTCTTCTGCTCATGGACGATGATAGCGGGCGGGACCACCTTAGACGACGGTGAAGACGCGGACCTGGTTGTCCGAGTAACCGCAGAAGAGGGTGGAGCCGTCGGCGGACCACGCGAGCGAGAGGCACTCGGGGTCGGCCGAGTTCTTGCCGACGCCCGTGAACTCGGGCTTGAGCTCGTCGACGATGCTCTTGGACTCGAGGTCAAAGATCTTGATGCACGAGGCCGTGGCGGCGCAGAGCCAGTACCGGTTGGGCGAGAAGACGAGGGCGTTGACCACATCGCCCGCCTCGAGCGAGTAGAGGTGCTTGCCGTCCGAGAGCTCCCAGAGCATCGTGATGCCGTCCTTGCCTCCCGAGGCGCACAGCGAACCGTCGGGCGAGACAGTGACAGTGTTGATGTAGCCAGTGTGGCCGTAGTGGTTGGTCTTCAGCTTGCACTTGCTAAGCTCCCAGACCTAGACGCGGCGCGGGTGCCAGATGAGGGGGGGAGAGAATCAAAGAGCTGGGTCAGCGCGTCTGCGCCAACCAGCGCGGTTGTGCATAGCCAGAGCCAAGCCAGCTGCTCAGTCCCGCCCATTTCCGTCTCTTTCCCTTCCTCCCCTGCGAATCGTGGCCTCCTTTCCCCCCTCGCCGGGTGGGTGAGTCCGGCGACGAGGGGAGGAGGTGCGCTCAGTGATCTTGGTGACTTAGAAATGTTCTCATAGAGCTCGAAGCTCTCTAAAGTAGCAAATATAAAAAAGCACTCTTCCTCGCGCTTTCCCGCGGCCGTTGCGATGTGGCGCTGAGCAGCTGGCTCGCCGTGCCACGACGACCGAACGCTACTCACCTTGACGACCTTGTCCCAGCCGGCCGAGACGATGACGGGGTTCTGCGGGTTGGGGCTGAAGCGGACGCAGCTGACCCACTCCGAGTGGCCGTCGTCCTGGATGTTGAACTTGCACTCGCCGAGCGTGTTCCACAGCTTGATGGTGCGGTCGCGCGAGCCCGAGACAATCTGACGGTTGTCAGCCGAGAAGCTGACCGAGAGGACATCGGCAGTGTGGCCGACAAAGCGGCGGGTGGTGGTGCCGGTGTTGAGGTCCCACAGGCGGAGCGTCTTGTCCCACGAGGCCGAGAGAGCGAACTGGCCGTCAGACGAGATGACGACGTCCGAGACGAAGTGGTTGTGGCCGTGCAGGATCCGCTTGGGGTAGCCGTAGTTGGCGTCGTCGCGGCTGAGCTGCCAGACAATGATGGTCTTGTCGCGCGAAGCGGTCAGCAGGAGGTCCGGGTTCTCCTGCGACGTGGCGATGGCGGTGATCCATCCCTTGTGGCCGGCAAGGCTGCCCTTGTAAACAAGCGACTCAGACCTGCGGGTGGGATCGAAAAGGTGGTAAGGAGATCCACGGTCAGCCAGGAAAGTTCCCGCCAGAAGGTCGTAATTGCACCGCGGACCGCAGCAGCAGGAGCAGCGGCAGCAGTCACAGCAGCAGCAGCAGCAGCAGCAGAGGCGGCAGCAGCCGTCGTCGTAGCAGCGCAGCGCAGGGCCAAATCGAAGTCGATGGGGAGTTCCATGTGCTGCCGGAAAGAGCGCCTGCGTCTATCGCTGGCTTGAGTCGGCCTCCTGAATGATGCCGCAGTGTCGTCCCGGTCGCCCGTTCGCTGTCGTCCGCCGCTTTCCCCTTATACCTGCTCGAGGTCTGCCCTCGAATGCAACATTGGGCCCCTGCCTGCGGACCCTCGTGCCAGTCCGTCCCAGCAAGAGACAAGATTCGCAGCCAAATCATGCCGCTACCGAGCGTTCCGGTGTCCCTCGCGCTCGCTCGTCGTGCAGAGATGTGCCGAGCCGATATCCGCCATGTCCTTCTCGTAACCCCTATCCAGCCTTCGGTCGGGTTTTCGACTGCGCTGAACGTTCCCCGAACGCCAAGAGATGGATCCGGCAGAGGTGTTGTTTCTGCTAACGGCGGGCTAGTCGGCGGGTAGGCTGGCAGGTTGGCGGGTCGATTGGCAGCTGGAGTGCGCCTCTGGCCGAGGTGGTGTCGATGGCAACCGGGCTGTCGTCGATGCGAATGGCGCTGCCGTTCCGCCGAGCCGTGCTGTGCTGTGCTGTCGCGACCGAGCAGAGAGGTTCGACACTCACATGATGAGGATATGTGTGGTGGTGTAGGAGATGTGATGGAATGGTGAAGATTGGCGTAGACGACGAGGCTGGAGTGAGCGCAGCGGGCGGGCGGGCGGGAGCGGGCACCATGGCCCTGGCCCAGCCAAAGGGCCGGCCAGCTCCCACCCGCCCTCGCTCTCGGACGGCGGGCCCACTCGGTCTGCGCCAGCCAGCCAGCCGGCCGGCCGGCCTTGGACCGCCAAGTCGAGGTCTGGCTGGGCGGCTGGCCGCTGCTGGACCTTCCTGGCCGGACCTGGCTGCCGCTGGCTGGGCTCCACCGAGCTCGCCGGCCCTTTGGCCAGTCAAGGCAAGCGCTCGACCCTAGGCTCGAAGCAGGCACGTGCCGCAGACGGGGCCATGGCCTGCCGCTGCTTGGACTTTTTTGGATTTCTTGGATTTTCCCAGCAACCTCGGCCGAAGCTGAAGCCTGACAGGCTGCCCACTCGATCACCCTCGCCGATTTCCCAAATTTCGCAAGGAGCGGCGGGCGGGCTGGACCCACCCAACGGACCCCGCAGGCTAGAAGGCAGGGCAGGGGCCCGGCCAGGCCAGGCCAGGCCCGTAGCTCGCCCGCCAGCCAGGTCCCGAGTGGTTGCCTGGCTGACTGGCCGGTTGGCTGGCTGGCCGGCCCTGCGGCGGGAGCGCAGGCGCGGTCCGCCAGCTGGAGCGTCTGGCGCTCGGCGCTTGGCCTTCAACTTCTTTGCTCCTCGTCAAGACCACCCCTTCTCCGTACCCCCCTACCCACACCCACAACTTCGTCACAATGGCCCCTAAGATCGACCCCAACGAGATCAAGGTCCGTATCGACGCCCGACACGGTCCCTGCCGACACCGCCGCCACCGCCGCTCCGCCACCGCTGCTGCCGCCTGAATATCGTCGCTCTGGCCTCTGCTCGCCTGAGTGGGATGTCGTCTCGTCGCACGTCGCCCGACCGCACCCCTCGTCGCCCAAAGATCGAAAGCCGCTGCACGAGGAGGAATTCCGAAATCGTCGACCGGGGCAGGATGGCCAAAAGAGCGGAAGGAAGGGAGGGACGAGACACACAGGAGCAGCCTCGTGGCGGGCTCCGACAGAGGGAGGCAGCGCTCTCGACTCGCGGAATTGAGAGGGTCATGCTCACTCTTGCGCTCGTGAAGCTGCGCTCAGCGAGGAGGGGTCATGCTTTCAGAGGCGCAGCGGCCCAAGGAGGGTGCTGGTCCTGAGAGCAAGGGAAGCTGGAAGCTGGAAGAAGGCGGCAGTCAACGCTTTGGTACATCGACCAAAGGTGTCGAATCGCTTCTCCCAGCGCGCTTCGATCTTTGGACGACGGCATCACAGACGACGACGACGAGCGACTATGGCGGCAGCAGCTTGCCGACGCTGCTCGGCAGGCGCGCGGAAACCTTCTACTGCCCTCTGCGCTCCGCTTCTGACCTTCCTTCCCTTGCTTCGCCGTTGAACCGCCCGCTCGCAATCGCAACAGATCATCTACCTCCGTGCCACCGGTGGTGAGGTCGGTGCCTCTTCGGCTCTTGCCCCCAAGATCGGTCCTCTTGGTCTCGTGAGTATACGTCAGGCAGCGCATATGCTGTCGATTTGCATCTCTTGCTGCCTTCCTGGATTCTGACCGATGGACCGTCCTGCCTGCTCCCTTTAATTCTGGCTCACGCGCCTCTTTCAACACCCCACAGTCGCCCAAGAAGGTCGGTGAAGACATTGCCAAGGCCACTGGCGAGTGGAAGGGTCTGCGCGTCACCGTCCAGCTCACGGTCCAGAACCGTCAGGCCGCCGTCTCGGTCGTCCCCTCGGCCTCGTCGCTCGTCATCAAGGCGCTCAAGGAGCCGCCGCGCGACAGGAAGAAGGAGAAGAACATCAAGCACGGAGGCAACATCCCCCTCGACGAGATCATCGAGATTGCGCGAACAATGGCCCACAAGTCGTTTGCCAAGTCGCTCGCCGGCGGCGTCAAGGAGATCCTCGGCACCGCCCAGTCGGTCGGCTGCACCGTCGACGGCCAGGACCCGCACTCGATCATTGAGCAGATCGACGCCGGCGAGATCGAGATCGACGAGTAAATGTATCCCCGATACCCCCTTGCCATTCCACATCCACCCTCAAAAATGCAAAGGAGTCGTCGAGGTGCATTTGCACGCACACACGCACATACACACACACACATCTGCCTTGCCACGGGGGCCTGGAGGACGAGCTGAGGAGGTTCCGTCCTTCGGCCTGCGTCAACGCGGCTAGTCGAGGGGAGCCGCTAGGAGAGGCGACTGGGACGGGCCGGAGCGGCGAAGTCGACGGGAGACTCTGCACGCCGACTCCAGCCTTGATGGTTCGGAGAGCACCCCATGCGTAATCCTCTAGGTCTTCTCTTCTCACTCTCTCTATGCTTCCGGGGGGAAAGCACGCTCTCCATGGCCATTCATCGCCAGCCGTCCATTGCCCTGATCGTCTGTCTCTTGTACACTTAACCACACACTTCTTCCCACTCACCATCCCCGTCCCGTCCGTCACAACACTCTCAAAATCCCCCCTGCGACCTACGAAACATCTCTCTTACGCATGCATCGACATCCCTAGCTCGTGCCCTGTCTGCAGTTGCGATTCGCTCTGCATTGATAGGTTCGATCGAGAGAAGACCGACAGGCCAGGTCACTTGAGGATGAACCAAGCCTCTCTCGCACCCTCCTCGTCAACATCGTCATCGAGCTCCATCCCAGGCCGGGACGGTATCGGCGCCGCCGCCACGCTCGCCTGGTCGTCCACGCCAACATCGACGCGGCACCCCTCGTCAGCGGTACCACGGGTGGTCGAAAGCGTCCGGCTCGACGCGGCGCCCGCGGCCCTCTTGGCGATGCGACGACCGCGCTCCTTTGCCAGACACTTTTTCAGCGTCGCTTCCACCTGGGCCCGCGAAAGGCGCGACCAGGCGTGCCGGTCCGCGACAATGTACTTGGGTCCCGACTTGACTCCGTTGCGGTGCACGGCGTGGAACTTGACTATGATCCGATCCGTCCCGCCCCGGCCTTCGTCGTCGTCGTCGTCGTCGTCGTTGGGGGCGCCTTGCTTCTTGTTTGCCGTCATCTTCGTCGCCGTACCTTGCTTTTCGCTCGGTACCGGCGCTTGCGTCCTTGACGAGGGGATGTTCGCATCGAGGGATGACAATGCCGCTCGGGCCGGCGCGGCGTCAGGATCGCTCTTGACCCTCTTCGTCGTCGTTTTGTCGGCAGGCGGGACGGTGAGACGAGTCGGTGTGCCGGCGGACCAATGCGAAACGACGACGTGGGTCGAGACGACTCGGACCGTCTCGGACGCTCCGCTCGCGGTGGTGCCGAATCGCTCCGTGTGGGTCTGGACGAGGTGGCTCGAGATGGTGGTGTACTCGCGCGCGATGTCGACACGACGGCTGTAGGTCATCCTCCTATGCTGCTTCTGCACCTCGTCCGCGCGGCTTGGTACGAGGAAGTGCGGGTAGAGGTGGGGCGTCGAGTCTTGTAACGTCATTCTCGTCGCAGATCGTCAGCGACGGGTATCCGAGCGACGTGAAAGGTGGTGCGAGAAGAGAGGTGGGGGACGAGACGTGGATCGGATCGGATCGGTTCGGATCGCGGCGCAGTGGGATGGGAGGGGACGGGGCCGGGTGGCGGGGCAAGACAGAACGTGCAACCCCGACATGGTCAGGACAAGCCGACGAGGATCTTATACCGCACCCTCACCGCCCGTCCTTCCGCCCTCGTTGACTACGTCGTCGCACAGCTCCCCTGCTGACGACAAACGATCAAAGGGGAGATGATGCCGCGACTGCCTCCTCTCCGCTACGATCTCGTAGCACACAAAAGGGAGCAGAGACGATGCCAAGACGAGCGGAGGCCGGTCAGGGCTACACGCACGACTCTTCTCCCCTTTCAGCCACGAAGATCCGCTGGTATGGTAAGCCCTTCGTCTCGGGGCTTGGAATATCGCCGACCTGTCCTGCCCATTTGATAGCTCAAGACAAAAGAGAGGCGCTGTGTCCTGCATGGCACAGACCGGACACGAGGCTTGCGACAACAGCACGACGACGACGGGGAGGAGGCATGTAGGAACGGGGCCCTGGTGCGTTTCCGCCTTCGAGCGGCGTCCGACTGCGAGCAGACCTGTCGGGTCGTGCACCGTCCTCGTCCTCGTCCTGCTCCACGGGTCAGAAAGGGGATGTAGCCGCGAATACCGTGGGACGGGTCGACGATTCGGGCTGCATCGCCCCCTTTGTTGGCTTCGCTGCTCCCATTGACCGACGCCGGGCGGGCAGCCCCTTTGATGCCAACGCAACGCAGCGCGACGCGGAGAAGAGAAAAGAAAAGGTAGGGCCCGGGGCGTCGTGCGTCCCCTTTGTCCGACGCTCCCGACCTTTCAATCAGCCGGTCTCGACATTTACTCCCCGCTTCGATCACACTCCCCTCTGCGAGAGACGGGGCCTCGAGGGGAGGGCGGGAAAAGTCATGATAGTAACGGTTTTTCCATTCGAGGCTGCTCGAGCGACAGACAGGACAAGGATGGGGAAGCAGGGAATCGAAATCGGAGATGAGCACACGCAGTCGCAGTCTGTAGGAGTGGGAAAAAAGAATCGTCCGTTTGGGTAGAGTGGCGGCGTATATGACGGCGATGGCGACGGCGAAATGTGCGTGAGTGGTGCCAGAGGGGAAAGCGAAGGAGAGGCGAGGGCAGCGGGCCGAGCTGAGTTGAGCTAAGCTGAGAGGAAGGAGCGGTGTGCGTCGAAAGGGCCCTCTGTCTGTGGTGCGGACCGAGGTACCGCACTTGGGGAAGGCCCCTCGATCGAGATTGTCCCAAAGACGACGCCGTGGCAGGTGAGCGAGCGCCAGAGAGGATATTGACAGGGTTGGTGAGGGTCGAGGGACGAGCGTGACATCCGTCGCTCCGGTCCGTGCGACTGCGTGCGCCGGACAGCGGGGAGTCGACGAAAGAGAGTGCCCTGCGCCTCGTTCGATGCCTCGTTGGAGGCTGGAAAGAGGCTCGCTCGTATCGGAGCCTCGTTGCAAGAGAATACAGTGGCGAGAGTGACTGAGGCGAGGGAACGACTGCGGATCGGCTGTGGCGAACGCTTGACGGAGTTTCGACGGGGCTTGCGGCGTCCGTTCTCTCGTGTTGGCGTCCAGACGTCGCAGCGGATCGTCCCAGTGCAGGGAGGATGCAAAGAGGATGCGATAAGATAGAAGCGGAAGCTGGGGAAGATGTCTACAGATAGGGAGCAAGAGAAAACGAGCGTGGATCCAATCGAGACCGGCAGGCGTCCGACGGAGCGAACCATCAGGCCAGCCCGGCGTCGCCAAACTTGAGCCAGACGTAATCGAGCCGGGCCTAGCGCGCGTAGGAGCCCGAGTGGCTCTGGTCCTGGTGCCGGTGGCCGGAGCTCGAGTAGCTCTGATCTTGCTGCTGGTAGTGGCCAGAGCCGGACTGCGAGTAGCCGCCCTGCGGGGAGTCGTAGTACTGTCGCTGCTGCTGCGGGTAGTCGTCGTAGGTGCCGCCGTAGCGGTCGGCGTTGTCCTCGTAGTAGGCGCCGGCGTCACCGGCCATGTGCTCGCCCCAGCCCTGCTGCTGGTAGCCGGGGTCTCCGCTGCGGGGCCCGCTCGAGGTCGGGGACTGGTAGGCCAGCGGACTCGGGTTGTAGTCGTGGCTGCGCTGGCCGCCGCGCGGGCTGTCGTAGTAGCCGCCGAGCGCCTCCTTGCTCTCGCCGACGCCCTGCATCCGGTAGCTCTCAAACGTGTGCGAGCTCTCGTTGGCCGAGGTGGTGCCAAAGGCGCCGTTGACGTCGCCGCGGATGGACCCGACGGGCGTGTGGACTCGCTTGTACTCGGCTCCCGAGCCGACGTCGCGGCTGGTCCAGGGCGCGGCCGAGTTGCGGGCCGCCGCCTTGGTGTCGGCCCGATTGCTCCGGCGCCGCCAGAGGCAGATGCCGAGGATCAGCAGCGCAATAACGGCAGCACCGGCACCGGCAATGCCGGCGATCTTGCCAATGCTCCAGTCCGAGTCGCTGCTGCCGTCGGTCGAGGCGATCGAGGCGGTGAACTTGGTGCTGTTGACGGGCGTCGCGAGCGTCTGCAGAGCGGCGCCGAACTTGGGCGTGAAGGGGACCGCCTGCGCCTGGCCGAGCTGGTTGCCGACCGAGATGAACTTGCCCATGCTAGGAACGCCGCCGACGGTGACGAAGAAGAGCGCCGGGCCGGGCACAAACAGGCGGAGGACCTGCTGCGTCGGGGGCAGCGGGTTGACCGTGTAGGTGACCGAGGCGTCGTCGTGGACGACGTAGGTGTAGTCGAGGTAGATGGCGCGCTGGCCCATGTTCATGGCGTGGGTCGAGAAGCCGGGTCGGATGATGGCAAACTTGGTGTTGGCCGCCTTTGCGTTGGCGCTGTCGCCCATAAAGGTGCCGTTGACGGTGATCTCGAACGGAGCACCGCCATACATGATCGTGTCCGGCATGCCCTGGGGGTACGGGCGCGGCTTGCCCCAGTAGGGCGGGTAGAATTTCTCGACCTCGTACGTGGTGTTGAACGCCTGGGGCGTCAGGCCGGTGGGCATGTTGGTCACGACGTCCTGGTGAGGGTTGGAGCCGGCGACGAGGACCGAGCCGTCGGGGATCAGGATGGCGCTCGAGTGGTACAGGCGGGCGATGGTCGACGGCGACAGGCCGCGGTTCGAGATGCGCTGGCTCTTTGGCTTCGACGGGTCGTAGATGACGGGCGTGTAAGCGGGGTCCTGGCACATGCCCTCGGTGTTGACGACGCCGTTGGGTGTCTGGACCTGGTTCCACGTCGCGTTGCCGTAGCCGGCGGTTCCCTTGGAGCCGCCGTTGAGGATGACCATGGTGCCGTCGGGCAGGTGGATGAACTGGCCCATCGAGCGGCCCTCGGGCAGGTCGCCCTCGTGCTCGTAGTTGGCGCTCGGGTTCTTGGTGCCGTCGGCCATCTCGGGGATGATCGACGAGCAGTCCTTGGAGGCCGGGATGCCGAGGATGTTGTCGGCGGGCCCCGTGTAGTTGCCCCAAGTGGCGTCCGAAAGGATGCTGCCGCCGCAGAAGAGGATGCTGGGCGTGTAATTGTCGGCCGAGGTGAGCGGCTTCATCGCGACGGCGGCCGAGGCGGGATAAACCCGGACAATCTCTGCGCGTCGCGGAGCGGCAACGAAGAAAGAGAAGGACAACAGGCGGCGGGAACACCGATGATCAGCCGCGCGGATCCAGAGGGCAGCACTGAAGGCTGGAGGAGTGCAGGGCGCATCCCCTCATCGGGCAAACTCACGGTTAGGCATGTCGGGCAGGTACTCTTCCTTGTTGTTCATGTGGTCCCAGAGGATGGTGCTGTAGTTGGCCTGCATGAAGATCTTGCCCGAGGGCATGAGGAACGTGTGCGGGTACATGTTGAGGCCCGAGGTGTTGCCCATGAACTGGCTGACCTGCTGCGGCGGCTTGCCGGCGGGCGGGTAGTACTCGTAGGTGGGGTTGGCGCCGCCGGCGTTGAGGTTGTCGATGCTGCCGCCCTGGAAGAATGGGTCGGTGTTGGGCGTGTTGCGATTGATGTAGCCACCGCCAGTCGCGCCTCCGATCAGCAGGATGCTTCCGTCCTCGAGACCCTCGATGCCTGGGTACCACCGCCTCGACTGCATCTGCAGGCCTCCCGTGTTGGGCGGCGTGTCGAGCCAGACCAGGTTGCCGCTATCGGTCTGGGGCTCGAGCAGCCGCAGCGCCTGTTGGCCGTCGTAGTCGTTGTACGGGTTGACGCCGTACGGAACACCGGCACCTCCGTAGCCGACGGCCTGGTTGCCGCCGGCGACGACCCAGGTGCCGTTTCCGAGCGTGAGGCCGGATGCGCAGAAGGTGTTGGTCTGGACGGCGACACCGCGGACGCTGTTGTCCTCCAGGTTAAAGAAGGCACCCCAGACGGGTCGGCCATCGTCGAGCTTCTTGCGGTTGTTTTCGGCCTTGTCGAGGATGAAGACGGTGTCTTGGTTGACGAGGCCCAGCATCATGGCCGAGGCGAGCGAGTTGGTCTGCACCACCTCGTACTCGCCCGCACCCTCGCCGGCGTACGCGCCATGGGGCAGCGAAGCCAGACCAAGAGCAGCGGTGGCCACCGAAGCTGCACGCAACAACTTGCCTGCAAACGTCGCGGTGCTGCGACGGGTCGATCTCATGATGGCGATCGAGGGGATGCTGCTTCTAATGATCTGACGGGTGGACTCTAGGAGAGCAGTGTTGGAGTGCGAGGTCGGGGGTAAGATGAAGGAGCCGTCGGACGGGTTGAAAAGGGCGGATGTGGTCGAACCCGCCAGCGCGCAGATCAGAGGCCAGACAGGGACAGGGGAGGGCGACTGCTGTGCGATCCAGAGTGGGTTGTACAGCGCCTCCGAACAAAAGCCTCGCAGGGTCTGGACCGCGTCTGCTTTATGGCTCCGAGCGGCGACGAGCGAAGAGCAGATGCAGCGAGGTGGGGGTCGATCGCTCCACGACTCTAGAAGCGGCGGTAGTCCCACAGGGGGAAAGGTCGGGGAGCGGCGGCAGAGTAAGCGGTTGGTGAGGATGCCCTGTTCAGTCAGTCGGATCAACGTCTCTGGGAGCCGCAGAGGAGGGGAGTGGTCTGGACCGCGACGATGGTGAAGAAGAGAAGGTCGTCGGAGGCGATCAGGGATGAGCCAGCGAGGGGGATCAGGGATGGTGGTCGAGTACGAGAGACGGGGGTGAGGTGAATGGAAGCTGGACGGAGGTCTGCCCAAAAGTGGCGAGGTCGCCTTGGGCGTAGGCACGCGGGCCATGCCTGCTGAAGGGGGGCTATGCTCGCGGCTGGCCGGGTTCGACCCTCCCCCTGGCTCGCCAGGCGGGGGTGACAGGCAGCCAGGTCAGGGGAGCTCGAAACCAGGCGGGCGGCAGGGCGGGCGGCGCCGGCGAGGCGAAATTCAGAGACACACGCACGCGTACGCACCCCCTCAGCCTAACTAGCCTCGTTCTCGACGCACCGACGCCCGACGCCGGCCAAGCAGCAGGCCTGCGAAGCCTGGCCTGGCCTAGCCTCGGCCAGCCCAAAAGAAGAACCAGACAGGGGGGCCGGCCCTGGCCAGGCGGCACGGCGCGAAGAAGCCCAAAACCAGGCAGGCGCATGGATTTCCCAAACCAGGCCGACAGGCAGCAGCTGGAGCAGCAGCAGCAGCTTGCTTGGCATCCCGTCGTCGGCCTCGACCTGCGGGCCTCTGGCCTGCCTGCCTGCTTCCCTGCTTGGCCGCTTGCTTGCTTGCTGCTTGCTCGACGCCTCGCTGCTGCCGCTCCTGGCCTCTCTGGAACGCAGCGTAGCCCTAACTCTACCGGTAGCTGCCTGATGCGAGGGAGGAAGGGCTAGGCTAGGCACCGGCGAGGGCCGACGTATGTACGAGGTCGAGCGAGCTCGGCTGCTCCGCTGCCCTACCCCCCACCAACCAAACCAGCGGGCACGGCGGGCACGGCTGTGGGCTTCGCCGGGCTTGGCAGGCAGGCTTCGCGGTGCCTGGGCGTCAGGCCCGCCCGAACGTCCGCCTGGTTCTCACTGGCTCGGCGCACCGCCGACACGGGAAGTCCTGGCTCAGCAGCATGCGCCTGCTGCTTGCTTGCTGCATGGCCCGGCCACGCCAGGCGGCGACGATCAGACCAGAAGCAGGCGGCCAGCGTGGTCGCGATCAGCAACTAGTCTCAGGCGGCCACCACGGCATCGCTCCGAGCCGCGGTCTGCCTTGCGATGGCACCCAGGCTCTCTCCGACTCTGGCCCGCCCTCGCTGTCCCGTCGATCTTTCTTCGTTGTCGCAAAGGGAGGGCGTGCGTCTCCCTGCGGAAGGTCGTTACCAGCAGCGACAGCGGCTGTCATTGCTGTCCATGATACAGCTACTCGTCGTCTGAGAGAGGCGCAGGTCAAAGACGGCAGCGGCAGCGGCCAAGTCGGACGCCCACGTACCTACTTCCAGGGCGGAGGAACTCGGGCACGACGGCCGCCGTGGCGGCACTACAGTACTCTGGTGAAGCATCATTGAGGAGTGCCGTCGGCGCATGCCGAAGCTGGAGCTGGCCGTAACGACGACACGTAACTCCTCTCGGCCAGGCCACGCTGGAAGTGCTTCTTCTGCCAGCTGGGCTTGCTGAGCTGGGGTCATGCCCTCGTCGTTGCTCCTTCACGCTCGATCGCGACCAAAGTCGACACGGGCCAGCCCGGCAAATCCGTCGAGTCGAGCAAAGTGGCCTGACCCGTCGTGCGCAGCATGGTATCCGTCAACGGTCTTCGAGGCCGACCGGGTTGACCATCGTCGCCATCGTCCGAGCCCTGACTGACTAGTAACTAGGGCACATTTGCTGGCACGGGATCGGCGGCCAGGCATTTTGTTGCGTTGTCGGAGGTGCGACGTGCGTCGGTAGAGCCGCGCAGACGCCCCCCCCCCCCCCTCCCCTCCTTAACCCATCTCTACCGGCTGTCGCCGAACGAGTCGAGACCGCGACCACCGCCACCCGTACTCCGCCCCATCCCTGCCGTATCTACCTAGCTGCAATGTATTGTCTGCACGGCCATTCCCTCTCTGAGATGGCCGCGTCCACGCCGTCATGGCGCAGCGATACGAGCCGATGCTGGTGCCCAGCAACAGGCCTTCGAGGTGGCAGCGACGACGATGTCGACGACCCCTTGTGCGCTGTTCCACACCGCCATGGGCTTTTGTCTTCATCGTTATCGCGATCTCCTCGGGCCAGGTTGTCAAGGCTCTGTCGCATCAGTCTGCCTAAGAAAGCCCCGAACAGGCGCCTCCGGGTTGCACAACATGGTGGCGCAGCCGGCCATCTCCATACGCAGTAAATAGCCTCGGCACCGCCATACTCTGAGCAGCACAGGCGCCTGCCTGGCAGGTGCAGAAGATTTCTTGCCGTGCTTGACTGCTCCTTTGGCGACGGCATCGACAAAGGTACCCCGGAACGCCTTGCTTGCGAACCGTAACGAGCGTCGTCGATGCCGCCGGCCGGCGCGCATCCTGCACGGCCTGCCGGCAGCTATCTGTAAAGATGGACGGATCGTCGTGTCGGCGAAACCGCGTGGAACGCCACAGCACGTTGACGGACGGAGAAGGGCGGGCCCCTGGTACTGTAGAGCCTCCTCGCCCGCGAGGACAGCCGGCATGACAGGCAGGCCTGGCCTGGCTGGTCAAGCCGCCAACGCTGGACGACGCGGCGCTTCGCGGCCAACAGTCTGAGTGGAGAGACTCGAGCCGGACCTCGAGACGCACGGTGCGTCGCCCCGCGCCCTTGTTGCGAGCCGCCGGCACCACCAGGCTAGGGGCCCAGCACGGCACCCATCTGCCCATGCGCAGCTGGCCACACGACGAGCTGCTTTGTTTCTTCTCTTCTGGAAGGGAGGCCTAAAGTTAGGCTGCTGCTCTGGACCTCGAGCCGGCGACTTGCTTGACGAACGGTGCCCAGGTGTGGCGTGGCGTGTGGACCAGCTCCGGCGACTATCGTATGCTCGACCGCGGAAGGCTTCTTTTCGGTTGCGAGGTCGGGCGAGGTGGAGCTCGGCGACTTGACTGCGGGGGCATCGATGCTTTCTCATTCGCCCGAGAAAAAAGCGCGCCCGATCACACGTACGTCTTGTCCCAGCGATCGGCAGGCCTCCTGGAGCGACCAGCAGGCGTCTGCCGCAGCAGAGCTGGCCGTCGCTGACCTCGGCCCTGCCTTGCGAGTTGCGACCGACCTGCCTCGCTCAGGGCCAGGCCCACACCGCAACACGTCTGCCTCGCAGTCCACGCCGAGTAGAGCGGGTCTTCGCTGGATCAGCTGCCGTCACCGACCGCAAGCTCCTGCGTTGAGAGCTGGCCGCCACCGGTCGAGTAGGTGGTGCTGGCCATCTTCCATCATGAGCGACCGCAGCAACCAAGGAGGCGGCGGGAGCAACACCTCTCCCCTAACTTAGCTCTGGCCCACTGGGCACGGAAATTTTCACCTCTCGCTGCTGAGCGCAGCAGGTACAGGTGGTGCTTCTGCTAGAGAGCCTCGCCCAACATGCGGCGCAGCAGAGGCAGAGCCTGCTGGGCAGGAATGGGCAAAGGGGCAGAGGCCACCGGTACCGTAGAAGAGCCCAGCAGCTGCAGAGGGCGGGCCAGCCGATCTCGCCAGCCTCTGCGGAGCGGGCGCCAGAGAGAAGCAGCCGAAGGCCAGGCCAGGCTGGGCGAAAAAGAGGCGACGAGAGAGAGGAAAAAAACATCACGCCGCCCCCGGGGCGCCTGGCCAGTCGAGTCGAGTCGAGTCGAGGGCCAGGCCAAGCCAAGGCGAGAGGCGTGGCGTGCTGCGCCTGGCTGTCCTGCCCCTCTGCTCTGGTGCCCTCATCCTCCCTGCTGGCCTGCTGGCCTGCTGGCCTGACCTGGCCTGGCCTGACCTGGCCTGGCTGTCCTCTGGCGCGAAGGTGAGCGCGGTCGCGGCCCTCACCTGCTGCTGCTTGGCCAGGCTGGACCAGGCCGCTCTCGCCAGCCAGCCAGCCAGCCAGCCAGCGCAGAGC